CAGACAGGTGGAATGGATTTGGGGCTTGCATTTAATCCTAGCTCCAGTCGAAGAACAATTAGTTTTTACAACATGGCCCTACTCGATATGTGCCCTCATGATAACATGGAAAATATGGGTGCTATAGCAAAATGTAGTGAAGAAATTGGATGGTACCCAGCTCTTAAAGACTTGTTTTCAAATAAGCAGCCATCTAAGTGAGATGTCAATATGGAGGAAGCACACAATATTAGTGATCCAAGGATTGGAAATTATATAATCCAAATCCAGAGAGAAGAGTATCAGAGCTTAAATTGTGAACTTTTGGTTTGCAGAAGGCTATGGATGGCAGTGGAAGTCCAAAATACATTCACAGAATCTACACATGGAATAAGCCTCCAGTGATTCCCCTTTGACCATGTGTGAGGGATGGGAATAGCCTGGTTATCAGACAGAGAGTACTGGAGAGATGATTATAGTAGATCAAAATGATAAATCTGATTTGAATGGTTAAAACCTTGTCATTTTATATCCCTTTTGATACACTTTGAACTTGATCTAGTTTTTAATATTTCCTTTTCTATTTATTTGGTTTTCAGGTTGGGGCTTATCTCTGTTGTGTTTTGTTACTGTTGGTAGCATTCTTGACTCTGTTATGTACCTATGTTTTTTGGTATATGAAACCAAGGTTGGACGAATCTATAGAGACAATTACTAGAATAAGGGCTACAATAACTAGACTATCCCCTGGGGTCATTGACTAAACTATTGAATGGTATGCTGTCTAGATTATCTCCTAATAAAATCAGAAAAAGGAAAGAAGAAAATGTACTCAAATTGATTGTGATGATGATTGCACAACTATTTTAAATATTATTGAAGTATTGCATTGTATGACATGTGAATAATATGTAAAAAAAAAAAAAACCCAGACAGGCTTATAAAGTAAACATAACACCTGTGAGGGCTATGCTCCATAGAATAATCAATCATGCAAGGTGAAAAGACAGCATTTGTCCCCAAGCAGAAGTTCAGAAAGCAAGACGAAGCAGGACAGATGGGCAAATGGGTATGGGGGGTTATAGTCCGTTAATATGGCCCTTCTAACCCTAACTCTTTATGTGATATAATTCTGGACTTCATATGCCTGTGGCTATACTTCCCATTCTCTCTTAATGCACAGGGTTAGAGTGTGATTACGACCTGACCTTAGTTGGTGTTAGGTGTCATCAAGTCAGCTGTCTGTACAAGAGAACCAAATACTGCACAGTCTTGACTTTGGGACTGGTTGTGACCCAAGCCACACCCTTTGTTTGTTGGAAGCATCTTTTACCTACACAAAGTATGAGGACGCCGTCTCTTGTTTCCCTTGGCTATATAATATATAACCATAGAGTTCTAACACACATCTCCTCACTGGGAAAGCCAGATTCTGTTTCCTGACAGAGCTCTGGGAGAAACAAGAAGACTTGTTATATCTTTTGGGCATTTTTTAGCTTCTGGTTCTGGACCTGAATTTGGCTCACCTCTGCCCAACGTTCAGATTTTGGATGGAATAGCACTCATTAGCACATGAGACATTTCCCAAGTTTCATGAATTCCTGTGGAATGTTGCAGTGTATCGCAGAATCCAGGGATGTGAGGGAATATATTTAAGGGAGAATCAAAAAACCCAAACCAAACTCTCTGCCATCTAATCAGCACTGACTCAGATTCAGGCAACCTCCTGGGGCATGTCAAGATATTCCTACTAAAGTGAAGGATAAGCTATTGCATTTGGCACCCCCAATGAC